ACACAATTATGGTCTCCGGTCTGAGAAAAAACCTGCATGTGATTTGGCATTTCTTTATATTTACACAGTTTACTAATGCTGCTCAAATGTGTCGGAGATGCGTTTATGCATTTTTTTCTATTTTACGCATTAGTAGTAAATCAAGACTTCGCAAGTTCTCTTGTAAAATAAGATGATGATAAAAAACATGGAATGTACAGAAAGCGAGTAAAGAACTCTCAACATTAGGCTACTAAAAAGGTCAGTTTAATCTCGCAAAAAATCCTGTTAATAAAAAATCTGACTACACTGCACAATTAATCTCTTACACTGCATCTTTGTTGTTTGAATTCGGTGCTTGCACTTACTTACATTGCTTTTATTATTATTGCAGCTTATGTTCAAATAGCTGCAGTACTCTGACTTTACCACAAGGAAAACTGCATACGCCTGCTCAGACCCTGACTTTTCCACGTCAAAGACCGTTTTTAAAAATATGAACGTTGCCGTGGATTTTAGTGAACGCACACTCTAAGATCAAATCTGTGCGTACGCACATTTTATAAATGAGGCCCCTGATATTCAATAAGCCAAGCTTTATCATTTGTTTATCCGTATTTTGTTTGAATTCGGTGCTTGCACTTACTTACATTGCTTTTATTATTATTGCAGCTTATGTTCAAATAGCTGCAGTACTCTGACTTTACCACAAGGAAAACTGCATACGCCTGCTCAGACCCTGACTTTTCCACGTCAAAGACCGTTTTTAAAAATATGAACGTTGCCGTGGATTTTAGTGAACGCACACTCTAAGATCAAATCTGTGCGTACGCACATTTTATAAATGAGGCCCCTGATATTCAATAAGCCAAGCTTTATCATTTGTTTATCCATATTGCATCTGTTTTTTATTTGTTGAACATCAATTAAATTGTTACTCTTAATTTGGTTTGGACGTTTTTTGTATTTTCTTGTTCGGGAACAGACACTGTCTCTATAGTGTGATATCTAGGTGAAAGAGTCTCTATGTGCTGAGAATGAACTGATTTCTGTGACGTGAGGCGGCTAGCAGTCTGTCTGCTTCCTGACCTGGGCCCCAGTTAGTCAAGTACAAACTCTAAGACTATGTGCCATATTTCTAGAGAGAAGAGCGGCACCACCCCAGGAGGGAGATGATGAACTGCTGACTCTCCCAGCAAATCTACAGTAATGCTTTCACACGATTCATATAATTCACACATCGGAGGTATTAAGTAGACCCGGGTGGAGGGAGGATATATTTTAGGCATGAGAGTGTGATTTGATTCAGATTTAATTAATCTGATCTTATCTGTACAGCACTGTTAATATCCCTCACATATATAGACATTTTCCACTGCAGACCGCTTGCTTATCCTTTTCTGTGATGCAGACAAACCGGTGAAGTAAAGCACAACATTTATCCAAGGTCACAATTCACATTTAATCAGTGTGTTCTGGAAACATTTATCTGTATATTTATTTTTCTGTAATATTTACAGACATTATTATAATGATCATTCTTGGCCGTTTATAATTGCATATTTCTCTATTCTGATTCATGTAATTCTTAATTGTAATGCATTAATGTAATTCTACAAATCAGGTAATTATGGCTAGTGAACCAAAACTTTCTGATAGAACAGTATTGGTATTTCCACACTGACACAATCCACTCACTAAAACACACATACTGAAATAATAGATTCTCCGTCACAAATCATGATAGTGAATTCAGAACGCCAAGTACTGTGAGATATATTTCCAAAATCATATTTAGAAGAACAACATGAATTTTAGGACAGGTCCTGAAGCTTACATATAGTAAAAATACCACTGCCACTGATACAAAAGGTTTATTCTTTTAAAATCTGTTTATATCCTACACCAGAAAAAAAAACGTTAAAGGGGGATATTGGGTCTTCTATAAGCACAGGATTTGCAGTCTTCAGATTCCCAGCATGTCTTCAGTCACCTGACATCCCAACAGAACGTTCCCATCACACACACACTGAGACAGGCCGTCCGCTGAAACACACACACACAGACCTGCAAACTCAAATCATCACTGTAAAAGAACATGGAAAGCACTAACTCACAGAACATGTGGTGGTGAATATTGTCTCACGTTTCTGAGAGCGGATCCATGATGCCGCCTTCATGGCAACAAACTGCCACTCATCCTGCTGATCTGATTTAAACGCATAGAACCAGATGAGAGCGAGGACGGTGGCCCACACTGACCCATCCACCTGAAACACAAACACACCTCAAACACACGCACTGAACCAATCATCAACCTGTCTGAGGATATGACATCATATGTCCCACCTGTGCTGCTTTCTGATTGGTCACCTCGTCCTCAGTCTTCCCAAACACAGCAGCCAATGAGGCGTTGAGCTCCCAGCATCCAGCGGCCTTCTGAAGAGAGACCAGCTGGAGCAAAGGGTCCTTCTGGGGCTCAGCTTCTTCTGAAATACACCGATAGTTTAGATAGGAGTCATCTGGATACACATAGCAGCATTGTTTCTGATATGTTTATGATTACAGCAGATCAATCAAATGAAATAAAAGCAGCATAACTGCCTTAAGCCTTATTCAGACAGGATTTTTGTTTTTGTGACAGACATCTATAAACAGATGCCAGTAATGTCTCTTTTTCAATGTTCTTAAACTCCATCACAGAGCAAGTTTTTGCCATTTCTAAAGTTAAACGTCAGCACCTGAAGCAGGCAGACCAGCGGTGATGACATCATCGTCCAAATGCTGTGATGTCATCATTTACAGTTTGATTTTAAATGACAAAATATTTAATTTGTGCAAGACACACTTCAGAAAAAGAAAACTCAATTCTAACCCAATATAACCAACCCTGACTTATGAAATTTCTATGATGATAAAAAGCATGATGATCAATACAGGCTATTTTATGACAACTGCACATTATAATGTACTTTTCTCTTTTTAATCTCCTGTCATTTGAATTAAGAGAAGAAAACAATTGTTCCTTTCCATTTCTAATCTGATGTACATCTACATGCAGTGTTTATATAAAGTGCTATGACTGAAGGGATTCAAATCCAAAAGCAGCTCAGTAACTAACACATAATATGATGTCTCTATATAAAATGAATCCTGTCTGATTTAGGCTGTTTTGTTTGATTTACCCTCATATGAAGCAGCATCACATTCAACCATCATGTTGGACGACTCGAAGGAACATACTAAAAAATAATCGTTCAAAGAGTGACATACAGAAAAAGGCTATTAGATTGATATACACATTCAAAAAAGAACAAGAAAAGCTCAGTGAAGTGGTTTATATTTTTCTTACGCATTGTAGAATCAAATGCCATTTGGGGAGACATTGCTGAGAAAACAGAGGGAAAACCCAGGGCTTTTAAGGGCATATGCTAAAAACAATCATTCAATGAATGACAAAATAAAAGACAATTAGATGGAAAAAAAAAAATACAAAAAAATAAGACATGTTCGGTGAAGTGCTGCTGTCTGTGCATTTCTCTTACGCATTGCTGAACAAAATGCCATTTTGGGAACCATCGGGGCTAAGAAAACAGAGGAAACCCTGGGCTGTTAAGGGCATATGCTAAAAACAATCACTCAATGAGTGACAAAATAAAAGACAAGTAGATGGGGAAAAAATAAATAAGAATAAATTTCAGCAAAATACCCGCAGAACGTTTTTTTCTCTTACACATTACAGCACTTCTCACTTTAGGAGCTGTATTTGCCAAGAAAACAGAGAGAAAAGCAGATACTGTATAAGAATAAAAATACATATCTGACAATCACAAACAAAAAACAGTCACACCAAACCAGCTTTTAACAAAAACGCATGGCTCAAATCTATCTCATGTCATCCAAACATTGTAAAATTGGTTGATTGACCATTCTTACTTTTTTGAGTGATTAACTCCATGTATTGGTATTGAAAAACCACACATATTTGTTTTTATTTTACTTGATTTAACCACAGCAGCCATCTTTGTGTCATGGCCCACATCTAAACCTCAATATCTGATATAATGTGCTGTAATTTAATAATAGGCTCTAAAGATCAGTTTTGTTCCAAGGAGCTACGAATATCCTGAGCTGTGATATTGAGTTTTATGTAAAAATCTGCTTAACTAAAACAGTTAAAACATAACTATTTTTCAATAACAGTACATAGAGGTAATCACTCAACAAACAAATTTGGAAAATTAAAAATAGTCAAACATCCTCCACTGGGCTGCTTGAGATGGACTGAACCATGAAAACAAAGAATATCGTAGGTTATTTCTTACCACACATTGCCATACAGCGACCTTGCATCGCAGACATCTGAAACATATCTAATAAAGAATTGAATTTCACATGTTGATTATGCGAGTACACCAAATTATTATGTATGTCTAACTACTATGTGACAGGAAAACTGATTACGAAATCATATTTGTGATCCAGCTTTGTCCAATCCTCATCCTGGACTGCCAATGTCCTGCAGAGTTTAGTTATGACCTGCTCCAACTCACTTTCCTGGAAGTTTCTAGTTGTCCTGAAGACCTTGTTTAGCAGGTCTAGATGTGTTTACAGTTCTTCTCGATTGCTAACACACAATTCATGAAACAATTCACCATTTTCTCACAACTATAAACACAATCTCAAAACTACACACCAACTTGTGCAAACTTCAAACTTCCAGGTCAAAATCAAATAGTTTAGTCAAAAACATGTTCTCTTTTGTCAGACTCAAACTTTGGCCTCAGATGACACACAAACCTGTCAAATACACACATACTGCACTGCCTAGAGAACACTAGTGAGATCAACTCAAAACACTGTTACTAAAACCTGCTTTTGGGAAACAGAAATCATCTTGCAAGTCAATGTCTGTTACAGTATACGGCATAAATAGAGCGGTGCAGATACAGTACAATTCAGCAATAAACTAAGAAAAGTTTACTTTCATTACACTACTGTAAAGAGATCTTACAGAAACAGAAATCATCTTGCAAGTCAATGTCTGTTACAGTATACGGCATAAATAGAGCGGTGCAGATACAGTACAATTCAGCAATAAACAAAGAAAAGTTTACTTTCATTACACTACTGTAAAGAGATCTTACAGTAGATAAAAAGCACTAGAAGAGAAAAGTTCAAAAACCAAACAACAGAATATAAACACACATCGGAAATATACTGTCAGTTACTGTAAATAAATAAATAAATTCATTCATTCAGCATCCTCTGCCAAACTGCATTACATTATTGGTAGTATCCTTATTTGTTATAGCAGTATTTTATTCTTCTGACAAAAGACTTCTCCACCTCCCCTAGACAGCCGTCTCTCAGTTCTGCACAAATACAGTACATGTAAGGACTACTTGGCTACAAATCAATTCAACAGTAATGAGTTTGAGGGTGTACTGTACAACATGTACTACAGTATTTACTGTACATAGAATAATGAACGTTCTCTCATCTGAAGTACTGCTACTATGTACTGTAATTATATTGTATGTGTAAGTAGTATTGAAACCTTGTAGATGAGCCTGTAGACCAACTTCCCTCACGGTCAGTCCATGCAGAAGAACATGCTCAACTATAGTGCTTCATCAGGAACAAATTACCTTTGACCTCATCCCCTTCGTTTTTATTTCCCCCTGCAATCTCATTTTCCAAAACACATAATCACTTGTGCTCTTGTGCATATAATCCTGAGATTCTGATTGGTGTCATCAGTTTTGCTACTGAATGTTCATACATGGATAAATGTGTGCTGTTTGAGTTCATTTTTTGATGCTTGAGTTAATTATATTGTGTGTTTGTGTTTTCTGAATGAGAACATGGTTAAACCTGTGCAAAATGATGGCATTTTTGTGTAGAGTTTTGCAGAAAACACTGAGCAAATTGGAACGTGTGTGCAAACAGGTGAAATGTGTTAAAAGTTTTGAGAAACGTGTCTTTGTTTCGAGAACTGTATGAATGGTTTGGAAAATTGGGCCAAATGAATCAGTTATAGTGTGTTAGCAATCGAGAAAATTTGTAATTAGGATTGGAACTAAACTCTGCAGGACAGTGGCTCTCCAGGATCAGGATTGCTCTAAACGGACAATAAATCAGTGAACACATAAACAAGCACACACACACAACTTACGTGGCACTGGCACTCTCCTCTGCAGCAGCGGCCCTTTCACAGTCTGTTTGCTGTCTTTATTAACGCCGATGAATGCTGTGTGAGCGCTGCTCACTCCTGCATTAACATTGTCATATCCATCACCATGCTAAAATGTTCCGAGAGTTGTCATGATTGAATTATATTATGTGTTTGTGTTTTCTGAATGAGAACATGGTTAAATCTGTGCAAAATGATGCCGTTTTTGTGTAGAGTTTTGCAGAAAACACTGAGCAAATTGGAACGTGTGTGCAAACAGGTGAAATATGCTAAAAGTTTTGAGAAACGTGTCTTTGTTTCGAGAACTGTATGAATGGTTTGGAAAATTGGGCCAAATGAATCAGTTATAGTGTGTTAGCAATCGAGAAAATTTGTAATTAGGATTGGAACTAAACTCTGCAGGACAGTGGCTCTCCAGGATCAGGATTGCTCTAAACGGACAATAAATCAGTGAACACATAAACAAGCACACACACACAACTTACGTGGCACTGGCACTCTCCTCTGCAGCAGCGGCCCTTTCACAGTCTGTTTGCTGTCTTTATTAACGCCGATGAATGCTGTGTGAGCGCTGCTCACTCCTGCCTGAACGCTGAGCTCCACAATCCTTCTCCTGATGTTCTCCGCGTCTGCTCCTCCGGCTCGTTCCTCCAGCTCCAGAGAGCGGATCACAGACCGGGCCGCCAGCCGGTGGATCGTCAGCCTGCAACAAACACAAACCTGTAAACACAGTCTTCAGTGTCAGAGACGCGGCCCAGCGGCTAGTGAGCACTAATGTGAACACAAACATGAGTTTTGGGTCATTTCATCCCACTCTTCTTTATATTGATTCATGTCACATCTATAATTGTCCTGTTAAAGCCAAATTAAGCAACAAAATCAATAGTAAAAAAAATCTATTGGGACGGCCATGTTCAAAAGCATAATAACATACTTTTTACACCACTAAATTTCATAAAAACAGAAACATATCATTCCTCACTTTAAACTGAAAAAAATCACCACCACTCTGATGCTCAAGAGCAATGTCCCAATCATCAACGAGCAGATTCTGTCCAATGAACCAGTTGAAACCTGTATGTATGTGTGAGTGCGCAAACACGATAGTGAGTGTGTGAGTGATCATGTGTATGTGAGAGAGAGAGAGAGAGAGAGAGAGTGAGTGTACTGCTATATATAGTTTATGAGGACACAAATGTGTATAATGACATGGGTTCTACAGCATAAACATGGTTTATGAGGTGTCCCCGTGAACTAAATGGCTTAAAAACATACTAAAAAGTGTTTTTTGAAAATCACAAAATTCCTGTAGTTTTGTGTGAGGGGTAGGTTAGGGTAAGGGGATAGAATATATCATTAACCTGATATAAAATGTGTCTGTGCGTGTCTGTGTGTGTGCGTGTCTGTGTTTGTGCGTGTTGTGAGTATAAGTTTACGAGCGTGTGTGTGTGTGCATATGTGTGTGAGTGAGTGTGTGAGTATAAGTTTATGTGCGTGTGTGCATGTCTGTGTGCGTGTGTGAGTATAAGTTTACGAGCGTGTGTGTGTGTGCGTGTGTGTGTCTGTGCGTGCGCGCGTATGTGTGTGTGCGTGAGTGAGTGTGAGAGTAAGTGTACGCGCGAGTGTGTATGAATAGAAGTTTACGAGCGTGTGTGTGTGTGCGTGTCTGTGTGTGTGCGTATGTGTGTGAGTGAATGTGTGTGTGAGTATAAGTTTACGAGCGTGTGTGTGCGCGTGTCTGTGTGTGTGTAAGTGTACGCGCTTGTGTTTTCGTGTCTGTGTGTGCGTGAGTGTGTGTGAGTATAAGTTTACGAGCGTGTGTGTGTGCGTGTGCATATGTATGTGAGTGAGTGTGTGTGTGAGTGAGTGTAAGTGTGTGCGTGCATGTGTGTGTATGTGTGCGTGTGTGAGTGAGTGAGTGTAAGTTTACGAGCGTGTGTGTGTGCGCGTGTCTGTGTGGTGCGTATGTGTGTGAGTGAGTGTGTAAGTGTACGCGCATGTGTGTGTGTGTGTTTGTGTATGTGTGTGAGTGAGTGTGTGTAAGTTTACGAGCGTGTGTGTGTGCGTGTCTGTGTGGTGCGTATGTGTGTGAGTGAGTGTGTAAGTGTACGCGCATGTGTGTGTGTGTGTTTGTGTATGTGTGTGAGTGAGTGTGTGTGTGTGTGAGTGTAAGTGTAAGCGCGTGTGTGTGCGCATATGTGTGTGAGTGAGTGTGTGAGTGTAAGTTTGCGCGCGCGTATGTGTGAGTGAGTGTGTGTGTGAGTGTAAGTGTATGCGCATGTGCGT